GATGCCAAGCCATTGCTGCTTCCAGGGGCAAGAGCGAAGAGCGAAGGACCATACCGCCAAGGCTCAGCGCGGGCTCGTTGGCTACAGCGGGCGGGCGCGGATGGCGGCTGCAGCGAATTCCTTGTTTGACGGGCGGGGCTGTCTGGCTGGGCTTTTTCTTTGCGCCGTGGGCTGCGAGATTCCTCTAAATTGTAGAAGCCGTTGGGCAGCTCCGCTCTCCGCGCTTCGGTGCAGCGCGCGCTCCGTGGCTCCGCTGTCGAGGCTGACGAGGAATGCGCGCTGCGTTGCAAGTTGGCCCTTTTGGCGGTGGACGCGAATTTTAGCGGAATTGGCACGCCGCTCCCCGTGGCTGCAGCGCGAAAACCTTGGAATTACTGAGGCGGGCGTCGGCGGTTCCTGGCTGGCTGTGCCGGCTGTGCTGTCTGAGCTCTGAGTCGACGCGGGCCTGGCCTCTCGCTCTCTCTCTCTCTCGACCCAACGGAGCGCCGGCGTCCAGGTTTGGCCACGACTCCGACCGCGCCCACAGCTCGGATCGGATCGGTGCAGATCGGCGATACTCATCCCTCGCCTTCCCGATCGCCCTTCTCTCCTCACACACACACTCTCCATCACGAATGCAACACGAGTGCAACACGAGTGCAACACGAGTGCAACACGAGTGCAACACGAGTGCAACACGAGTGCAAGCATCGTACTGTAACTGGAAAGACTTGCTTGCATGGAGTGCGTAGCGTTTCGAACGGCTTTGCATCTACTTGTTCTGCTGCTGCCCCATCAGCTTGGCACTGTGTACACCGTGAAAGATTCATTGTCAGCATATCGTCATTCGTGCAGTCATGTCCTTGGGGCTGCTACTCACTTTTCCTCGCCAAAGCGCGCACCCACACGCTCCGAGTGCTTGAGGAACTTCTGGATGCAGTTCGACACGCACGTGTCCTGTAGCCAGCCAAAGCAAACAAAGTGTCAGCACGATCCACGCGCCATTGCGCCTCTCGAAAAAGCTTGTACGCACCTCTTTGGAGCTGAGCGCCTTGGAGGTGAAGTCGTTGCAGCACGACTCGAAGCAGCGCTCCACCAGTCCCGTGTACAGCTTGAGAAAGTCCTTCATCTGCTTCTGCTCAATGATGCGCGACATGGCCTGCTGCTCCGACGACGAGAGTCCCGAGACTGTGCCACCAATACCTGTCAGCATGCCATTTCCTCTTCTAGGCCACTCTCCGGGTCGCGCGCGACTTACGATCCATGATGGGCGAATTCAAGCTTGCGCGCGGGTGAATGCAACGGTGGAGTGCTGTGTGTGATGACCGTTGTACAAACGGTGTCAAGATGAAGTGGAGAGAGTGCCAGATCGAATGCGCGATGGATGTCGGCGAAAAATTGGTGAGCCCCATCAGCCTTGGCTCCGACTTCCGAAGTCTGCCATCCACCGCGGGGATCCATTTGGTTGAGCGAGGCAGGCCGAGTCAGCTGCTGCGCGCTCTGCCGTAGGCCGTGACTCGCGCTTGACTCGGGGTGCAGTATCGGGCGTGTGGACGTGCGAGATCCGAAGACTTTTGCGCTTACATAATCAAGAATTTCCACTCTTCGCCATCCGCCGCCGCCGCCGCCGCCGTTCGCACAGGATTTTCTCCACTCTTTCGCCCTTTTGCAGCCAAACTGAGCCTTTCGCACTCCAACCACCTCGCCCATCCATATATACCGCCATCGTCGGTCGCTTCTCGATCCGTACCATCACACAAACGAGCCACTGCATCCTTGGCTCTTACCTCTACTCTCCCACCCTCACCAGCGCCAATTGTCCACTCTCCTTCTCCGCGCTACCATTGCAAACATGGCGGTGCGTTGTCAGTTCGAAAACTCGTCCGAGATTGGCGTCTTTGCACGCCTGACCAACGCATACTGTCTCGTCGCCATCGGTGGCAGTGCCAACTTCTACTCCACCTTCGAGGCCGAGCTCGCCGACGTCATCCCGGTCGTACACTGCTCCATTGCCGGTACACGTCTGGTGGGTCGTCTTACCGTCGGTAACCGTCACGGGTTGCTGGTGCCTTCGACTACGACGGATCAGGAGCTGCAGCACTTGAGAAACTCTCTCCCGGAGTCGGTGGCCATCCAGCGCGTCGAGGAGCGTCTGTCGGCACTCGGCAACGTCATCGCCTGCAACGATTACGTCGCACTAGTCCATCCGGACCTCGACCGCGAAACCGAGGAGATCATCGCCGACGTGCTCAAGGTCGAAGTCTTCCGCCAAACCGTCGGCGACAACGTCCTCGTCGGCTCCTACTCGGCCATCTCAAATCAGGGCGCCCTCACGCATCCACGAACCTCGCTTCAGGATCAAGACGAACTCTCCTCCCTCCTCCAAGTGCCCCTGGTCGCAGGTACGGTCAACCGTGGTTCCGACTTGATCGGCGCCGGTCTCGTCGTCAACGACTTTGCCGCCTTTTGCGGTACCGACGCCACCGCAACAGAGATCAGCGTCATCGAGTCCGTATTCCGCCTCACCGGCGCAGGCAACGGCCAGGACACCGTCAACGAATTGCGCGACGCCCTCGTCGACACCTACGCCTAGAGTAATGCATTCCTCATTTTGGGTTTCGGCTTGCCTTCACAACCAATCACGCCCCTCGCACTTGCCGCGTCTGTATGTGCATGTGTTTGTATATCGCCCCAAAGTGGTGAGAAAGTGTAGAAAAGTGACAGCGAGAAAGGCGTCCATGCTCAGAGCTCGTTGTGCTCGTGTGCCGCTGCAGTGGCGGTGGAGGAGGAGGTGTTTTGCGCGAAGCAAACCGCCGGGGTGGCGACCTTGATCGAGTAGATGCACTTTTCCGCCTCAAAGACATCGCGCAGCTCGTTGGAGGTCGCACACTCGAGGTCGACAATCGCACTGCGCTCGGGACCGTTCCAGCACCGCTGGCCACGCGCATACACCTGCTGCATCCAGTACTCGTCGCTGTCCGGCGTGGCGTCCGCCTTGGGATTCCAGTTGGCAAACGTGCCGAGCGAGATGTGCGCGCCGCCGTTGTTGGGCATCTGCGTGGCCCTGCCAAAGAAGCAGTACTCGTACGTGTACTCGCCCATGTTTTGCGACACACACTGGTTCTCCAGCGCCCGGAACTCGGCGTGGCGGCCGTAGCGCGTGTCAAACTCGTGCAGCTTGTGCCGGCGCGTCGACAGATCGTTCGAGACGCGCGACAGATGCGTCGCCGCCTCCGAGTGCGCGCGACGTGCCGCAGCTACGTTTTCAGGCTCGGCACCATCCGCCGCCTTGGGCCGCATGCGCTTCACGTCGGTGATCACGTTGGCCTTGATGAGCACGTCGAGCAGCGTATCCACCATGGCCTCAAAGTACGGCACCACCCCGTCCGGCAGGTACTCGTGGATGCGGAACAGCAGCCCACCGTCGGCTTCGGCCGCAACGCGCTTGTCGCCCGCCGCGCCCGCCAGGCCGCCGTCCATAATGTCGAGCGGATCCTCGGCCAGCAGGCTCGCGAGCTTGTCCGCATCCCAGCTGCCCTCGTCCAACAACTCGTTCAGCTTGACGTTGTCGGCGGCGAGCTGGTCGACGCCGTCGGCGGCCGCGGCCGCATCGTCGGCACCGTCAGCTGGCGACTCGGACTTGATGCCGCGCCACTCTTTATACGCAACGACGGCGCCCTTGACGGCCATGTCCTGGTAGTTGGGGTTGTATCCCTTGGCGAGGTCGTCGAGCAGCAGCGTGAGCGTCTGGAGCTCGTGCTTGAGCGCGGCGTTCTTGTCCTTGAGCGAGCGGATGGCGTCTTGGTGCGCCGACAGTTTGGCGTAGAGCGGCGTCTTTGACTTGGCATCGATGACCGCCTTGTCGACGGTCTCTGCGCGTACGAGTTCTTGCTTGAGACGTGCTTCGTTGGTGGTGGCCACGTCGAGTTCGACTTCGAGCTTGGCGATCTCGGCGTGGAGCGCCTCCTTGTGCTTGCGGCCGTCTGCAATGTACTTGTCGCGGATCTTGCCGCCTGCTCTGCGCAGATTTTCGAGTTCGGTGGCGCGCTTGCGGTACTCCCTGCCAACCTTGTCGCACCGATTTGGACAGTGCACCTTGCCGTCTTGCTCGTCGGAACCGTCGCAGCACTCTGGATCGCAGATGCCGTCGTCGACGCGGCTGGAGCGGATGCGGGCGGGGATGTGGCCTGCGTTGGCGCAGTAGAAGGTGGCGTTTGGGCAGGCGGAGGTGCCCGGTTCGTCGGAGCCGTCGGGGCAGTCGCAGTAGTCGTCGTTGACGGCTGACCATGCGATGTGCTTGGATCCGTCGAGGCACGTCCAGCTCGGCTGGCCGTTTGCGTTGGATGTGGGCTGGTACTTTTGTGCGTCTGCCGGTGCGACGCCGCGCAGCTGTTTTGTGGATGATGACGATGACGAGGATGATGACGCCGTGGAGATGGCACCTGCAGCGAGTGCTGCGACTGCGAGGTTGAGGCGCACCATGACGAAAAGGCAAAGAGGAGAAGATGGTGGAGCGGAGGAAGGAATGCGGAGATGGCGCGTGCGCCGTCGCTCTCTTTGTCGCCGTGTGATGTGACTGTTCGGGAGGCACGCGTGTGACTTTGGAAAGGGCGGTTGCGTTGCAAGGTTGCACATCCCCGATGGCGACTTCGTTTGCATCGCATCGGGAGATGGGGCGTGTGGAGCAACACGCGGAGGCGCCGACCCGAAAGCAACACTTTCGCTCTCTCTCTCTCTCGAAACGCCGACTTCATCCTTTCCTTTCTACCATCTGCACATCGCCAGCATCGCCATGTCGACAATATCAAGCCAGAATGCGCTCTCCAGCGTAGAGGCTGCACACACGGACGCTACAGAAAACGCGCGATACTCTGCGCCGTCGTCATCACGCGCAAAGTGAGTGTGTTTTTGCCTCTGTACGCCCTCCTGCTCGGAACTTGTCGCTGACCTTGCTCTCGTGCAGATTCGACGCGGCACAGCTGCAGCCGCAGCTGACGAGCACGCTCAACTTGCGCCTGCGCCACGCCACGTGGGACAAGTCGGACAAGGAGCGCAACCGTGCACTCAGCCGATCCATCGCCGAACTCGTCAAGGCCAAGATGCTCGGTGCGTTTGCTCTTTCCACGCCCACTGCCTCTTGCAGCTGCTTTACTGACCACGAGCTTGCATTGCGACAGAGATCGAGCCAAAAGGTAGCGCGTCCAATCTCGACTTGGAGACAGCGTGGCACATCAAGCTCACTCTCATCTCTTTGTGCGGCAGGCTTCAAGTATATTGTGCAGGTGCAGCTCGTCGAGAATCTCGGCCAGGGCGGAAGGTGCGTCGCGCTCAGCCCCCACCTTGACATTGAACCCGGCGCTGACCCTCTCTTTCTCCACTGTGCAATGGCATCCCGCATGCACGCGCAGAGGTGAGTTGGAGCGTTGCAAGCCAGCCATGTCGGCGCGTAGTTTGACTGACGCCTTGACTGCGCGCTTTGTGGGACGACCAGCCGACCTGGCGTGTCACTGGGAAGACAGCGACTCGGTGGTGCAAGAGATGTACTCCAACGTGAGTTTGCCCTCGCTGCTTTCCTTGATCGCTCTGCGTGCTGACCTTTGTGTTTTGCGTGGGCGGCGCGCGCGCGTAGGACACGCTGATCTGCACTGTGCTGTGTTTTGCACTGCGCACCTGAAGAAGATCGAGCTGGATACGGGTATGCATTGAATGAACAACTAGGCATCTTCGAGGTTTCGGTCCAAAAAGTCTCGCAGCTTTTCGAGCAGATGCGCCTTGACGTGTGGTGGCAGTGTGTCTGACCGTGCAAAAGCAAAGGCGTCAGTAAGAGCTCCTCCTCAGTACTGGGTGTAGTGTAGAACCTACCCTTGGCGTGCGGAGTGAGCGCATCGATGAGCGAAGGCACGTCGAGCACTGGCTGTTGCTTGGCCTTGGAAGTGGCGGTGGACTGGAACTGCGCTTCCCAGCCGCACTCGTCGAGCATGCGCTTGAGCAAGATGAGCAGACGCTGCCACTCGCCCGACGCCACGAGTCGCTGATGCAGCGCATTGTACAGCTCGTCTCCCCCCGCTCCTGCGTCGACGCCGTTCGTAGGTCCGAGCTCGCCTTCCTCCATCGTTGCTGGTGCGGTACGTTGGTGGTGGGAGTGTAGCGAATGGGGTCAGCTAGAACGCGCCTCGAGATGGCCAGGAACTCGGATCTCGGAACGCGGAAAATCCCGAGTGTGGAGCAAAAAAAGCATCCGTAATCTCGGCGCCTTTTTTTAATCATCATTCTGAGCTTCTTTTTTTTTCTGCCTGTGCTCCCTTCTACCTCTCCCGACCCATCTTGATCCTTCCATCCTCACCGCATTGTCGCACCATGTCGTCCGCATCTACTGCAGTGCCGCCGGCAAAACGGCCAGAGTACGTGATAGAGCACATGGAGGAGGACGATCCCGACGCACCTGCCGTGTTTCCGCACTGGGCGTTGCTCGAGTACCGCCACATGCTCCAGCTCGTCGGTCCTGGTTCCACCGTGCACTTTACCTCGCTCTCGCACGCATCCCTCGAATCGCTGCGCCAATCTCTCTCCACCGCTTCGGACAAGCCTCAGGCGCAGTTCGAGCTGCATACGGCGAGCATTACGACCATGATGAGCCAGCGCGGTGTTGCGCTCGAGCGAGTCTGCCTGCTCGACCCTAAAAGCCCCTATGCTGTTTCCATCACCGATGCAGGCAAGCACACTAGCCACACCAAGCCCGCGCAGGCAGGTGGTCCGTTTGAGCTCTTCCTGTTTGGCGGGATTTTGGGCGACGATCCGCCGCGCGATCGAACCAGCTCGCTGCGCCAACTTGGCTTCCCCTCCCGCCATCTCGGCGGCGTCCAGATGACCACCGACACCGCACTGGGAGTCACAAAACGCTGCGTCGAGGACGGATACCTCCTCGCACTCGACGACACCACACAGCAAGAACAGGAGTGGGGAGATGCAGACAAGGCCTCCAACAAGCTCGAGTGGGTCAATCACCCGGAACTCCACTTTGGCCATGGCGAAAGCGTAAGTACCCCCGCCCCCTAGCTTGTTTCGCTTGGAGACTGTCGCTGACATCTTTGGCGTTTGGCGGGTTGGGCACAGGTGGAGATGCCGTTCCGATACATGGTCGACGAAGCGCGACCCGCGCTGGCCGACGGCAGCCGACAGCCGCTCATGCCACAAGGCATGCGCCAGCTCATCCAAAACGACCTCGGTCGCAGCTTTGAGTTCTAACCCTCCCGCGCACACAATGCCAACGACTGCCACACCAAACACTCTGACTTGCATGGCCTGTGGGG